TGTATGGAAGAGAAGGGATAATAAGAAAAATGATGCTAATAACATTCAACTAAGTTGAAAATCTGATAAAATTAGGTAAAAGGAAATCTTATTCAATTTAATAAAATTAAATAAACAAGGAATTATACATGTTAGAAGGAAATGATGTACAAAATAATCATTCGGAAGCATATTGCTAATTTTTTAGCAAAAATAACTATACTACATACAACACAAAAGCAATTTCCCACTTGTTTGAGTACAAATTTATTCAGGAGTAATATTCTGACGGATGCAAATTAGTCGGAGATGTCCCCCTAACGTTGTAAACAAATGAGAGTGTCAATGATTGCAGATTAAACATTTTTTTTATGCCACTCATGCCTGGAACTGGCTGGATTACACACTCGACGCTTCGCGTCTCGTGTCTCATTCAGCCGGTTTCAGGCTTCGTGACATAAAATTTTGTTCAGTACTTGTTGGGAAATTTCGTCCTTTTCATGTGTGGTTACATCACTCGCCTTCGGCTCATGCTGTAAACCCCACACACGTTAAAGACGAAATTGCCCCACACGTGCTGAAATATACTATTTCATCAATTGTGCGTGAAACGAAATTTTACGCATTACGCAATTTTATGCGCAAAACCCCACTTTCCGCGCATTTTAATGAAAAATAGGGTTCCACACTCGGGCGAAAATCCATTCAAGTACCTAATGGTGTGAATACCGAGATATTTACACAAGTCCTCAGAGACCGTTCATGAATGGGCGATACGGATGGAAAGCCTATCCCCGAGGAGCAGGCCGGCTTTCTCAAAGGTACATAAATGTAACACTGTGCCAACAGTTTACACTCATTCGCATATTATTCCCATAGTGTACATGTTTTACGCACAAATTATGCGTGAAATGTACATATTACGCGTATATATACCATGCTAATAAGTGTCAACTCTGCTTACAAAGTTGCACACGGTGGGAAATTTTTTCGAATAATACATTAGAGCACAAGGGCACACATTTCGATTTCGTCGAATGTGAAGTTTATAGGCCGAGCCGAAGGCGAGGTCTGTACTCACGTTCTTTTGAAACGAAGTTTATGCCCGAGTGGTCTATAATATTTTATATCACTGCGGACAGAAGTCGAGTTTGAACCACGCTTGGGGATATAAAAATATAAATTTCAAATATAAATTTCGCCATCGATGAATAAAATTTTTACTCGCACAGTCTAAGAATGATTATTATTAATAATAATTTTGAGTGCAGTGATCAGTTCCTATTTCGTAAATACACTATGAGAAAAAAAATATGAAAAATTTCGGAGGAGAGGAATTTTTCGGGATTTCATGGAAAATAAGATAGTAATTCTCATGAGATTGACATTGAATCAGATGTAGGAAAAAAATGGTTATGAAATTTCAAGTTTTAGGCAGAATTCAAGGAAATTCATGAGTTTTCAGTTGGAGTGAGATGGAAATTTCACAACTTGGTTAAACTTTCAGTGGATCATGAATATTCAGAAACAAAAAGACATGAATTTTCAATTTTTCCCTGACTTTTCCTGATTTGCCGCGGTGTGGCGCGGCGTTTACGGCGCGACCAACGAAGTGGTAAAATTTCACTTCCATTCGTCCCCATGACCGTCAGATGGTTGCAAGAAAAAAAACACCCTACCGGTATGGGAAATTTTACTGTACAGGAGATAATTATTGCATCCATAGATGTACTTGGTTTTTTTTTAACGAACGAATCGTAAAATATCCTCCCAAACAGGTATTTTTTCATTGAATTACATTTCGCTTCACGACTACCTTTCGTACAGTACAATTTACCACGGTTTTCTAGGCAATTTTTCTCCAACTTTTCTCTCCGTCCTTTACCCAGCCTTCTAAAACAACGAGTTTCTGGATTTAATTACCGTGGCTCTGCAAACCAGAAACTCTTTCTCTCTATGGTGACAGAAATTATCTGATTCGTGTTGAAAAACCATCTTGCTTCTGAGAATCCTATAAAAATTATAAAATGGAATTCTTTTATGTCTTTTTGAAGAATCAACGCCATAAATGCTGGGAAAAAGTTGACAGTTCAAGCAAACATTCAACAACACCGTTTTACTCTACCAATACCCGTGTCCATGCGAGTATACCCATGCATAGTTAAAACATGACAGAGGAAGAGCCTCGTTAGGAAGTTACATGGTCAATGCTCGAAGTTACATTGCACAGCTGGTGTATTTATTGGATATCACCGCAAAATGTAAAGCGTTTGAATTGTCAGAACATTGACAATAGTCACCCTTAACGAAGGACATTTCGACTCAAAAAGGTCCTCCTGGTATTTCTGAAAAGTGGACTAATTGGATGGCGTCTGGCAGACTGCGGTTACCTCTTGAATAATTCCACCTGTAACATCCCTCTTACTCTTCTTTGGAGAATTCTCTCCAGCCATCGAAAATAATTCCCTTTCCAAGGATTCAAAAGAATGCAGTATCTTTTTACTGTTTCGATTCAATCAACAATGTATCATTCAGAAATTTTTTACTAATCGATTCAATCGATTCTCAATTCTGTTGTCCTGCTAATTGTTTATTAGTCTTCCACACAGAGAATAATTCCGACCCATTGAGAAAACTCAGAGAATTAGAATAAAGGTTATAAAAATATCTAGCCATTGTATTGAAAACGAATTTTGAAAAAGTGATATTATTCACATTGCTAAATAATTATAATCTACCCCGCTATGTATTCGAGGAACTTTTGTAATCATAGACTGTTAGAAATTTCACGAAATTTCCGTCACAGCGTCATCTGAATTTTCGACGTTGTGAGGTTGAATTTAATTTCAAATGGAAGGGTTCACTAAATTTCTCATTCATCTTGAAAATTCAAGAAAATTGGGTTTTTGTTAAAGAATCATTGATTTTTCAATGAAAGATTGATTTTTCAAACTCATAATGAAAATTGAACATACAATTCAATTTTCAATAGATTAAGAATTCAGAAACGTTGTTGCTTGAATTTTCAAAAGTAATTTGCTAACAGTATAATAGTACATTACAGCACTAGGGCACAAATTTTGTTTCCGACCAAGCCGAAGGCAAGGTCTGGACTCACATTCGTTGAAATCGAATTGAAATCGTAAACTACGCCCGAAAATATTTATTGATAAGAGTCAATCAATTTTCATATTTTATATTTTTATTTCCATTCATTTATTGTAAAATGGAATCATGGCATACTTTCACGCTGACACAGCATTTTCTCTCGGTAGAATAACCTACAACGCACGATGAACTCCACCTAATGTCAAACACCCATAATGATTTACAATAATATTTACTCTTCAAACAGTTTGTCCAACGGTTTGTCAGGAACTTTTTGTATTAAAATAATTTCTCAACAACATTGTTCGATTGCACGCACTTGCAGCAATTCGGGCATTTAATTATAAGACGTTGAGGGAACTGCACTAAGCCGAAACATACCTAAAGTTTTATACATATTTTAATTTTGCACAATCATTTTCAACAGTTTAATACATCCATATTCTTGAAACATAATTTATTCATGAGCGGTTCCCAATTACACAAACGTTGATCTTTCTTTAAGGAGATTCCACAATGAACGCAACGCAGGCTTGACGCAATGCGTGCCATTCACGGAGAGAAATATTCAATAAAAATTACATATATTTTCCGTAATTCCGGAGTGAAATGTGGTAGTAGGAAATTTTACGGAACTGTCACGGAATTTTTCCAGAGCGTTCCGTAATTTTCATCTCTCCTATGAAATGAATCTATGAAAAATTACGATACCGTCACTTAAATTTTCTGAATCGATTCCGTAATCGGTGAGCGAATTGTGAGTCTCGTAATTTTTACTGAACATTTCTCTCCGTGTTGTCAAAATAATCGAACAACAGTTGAATGATTGGTTCAAACAATTGCACGCGTCGCATTAAAATAGCTCTACCCTTACGGTAAATTCAAAGATTATTGAAAACTACAAAAAAATGGCAGAAAACTCCATTAGATTCGGAATTCTAATTTTTTTCTCAATTTAATTATCGTTTTGATTTTTCAAAAAAGAAATGTTTAAAGATCAGGATTTAACCCAGTGTCTTATGTAAAAATTAACCTTTCCATTGTAATCAAAGATTAAAATCTGAATTTTTTTTTCGTTAGATGTGAAGAAATCAAGAATTTTTTTGACACCTCATAGAAAATAATCAACCGTTTTGCAAACAAGTTTTATTATTTATTTATACGAGGGAAATGTTTGAAAAAATATCAATATTTTGCGAAATTTAATTTAGATAATACTGACTGGGTATGAATTTTTTCAAATTTTTTCCATGCAATTTAGTTGAAAAATTAAAAAACTGAAAATATCCAAAAGTACAGCGTAGCCCGGCCGGAGGGTAGAGCTACTTTAATCCTACGTAGCGCTTCATTGTAGAATCTCCTTTAGAGCCGACGCATTTCGCACATAACAGGAGTCCGACTGAATTTGGATAAAAATCGTCTCAATGGTTGTTCAGTTATTTAAATAAAACTTTCAGAAATTGCCATTATTCTAACGAGCAAACAAAAGCAATTCTTCGAGATCAGTTGATAATTGGTTCGACTCATAATGAGTCACACCCATTTCAACCAGCCTTACCAATCGCATCCTAACCGGGAGTGAGTGAAGCGGGCGACCGGGCACTGACCCTCGGAAAACGGATTGCAGCCTACTAGAATGCAGTATTTGAAGTCGCAATTTCGAGAACTAGGTGAAGAACTAGTCCTCCAGCACATCACGTGGCGCTAAATACTGCACTCCTATTAGCCGTCATCTGTTGTTAGCAAATAATCCACATTCACACACCTTTTTTACTCGTCAATCGAGTTGACCTTTCATCCACCCATTCATCTTCACTCAGTTAAATGATACTCACAGCCGATTAATGAAAGATCATTTTACCAAAATCAAAGTGCAAGACATGACAAATCTAATTAATTTTTGTTTGTTGCAGCATGAATATACAGAGGACTGTTTATTCAACGAGACGCTGGAGCAGCACAACTACAATACCTACAGCTCAGTCAGATGGTCAACACCCCGGAAGACCCTGTACTTAGGCTTGAATCGTCATGGGCAACCGAGAAGGGTGCAAGCGCGTGGGCATAACTTGGGTAGACTATCGGCTTACGCAAGAGTCCTCACTCAAGTAGCCCCACCAGATCGTGTTGAGGCACTTCAGAGTCGTATGCTGGGTGCTCAGCACGGTGTCCGTCATCATCACAATGCCCACCATTACAGACATCTCCAGCAGGCAATATGCCCAACCCTTCCGCCGCAAGAGAAAGATGGTCGAGATAGATTCCGATGTCGCAAACGGAAAAAACGAAAAAAAAGAAAGAGACAATGCGAAGAGGGTGAGCAACCTGGTCCTCATTGTGAAGTTCATCGAGGAGATGGTGGACATCACGCAAAGGCGGAAGTCACTGGTGGAGGACCACCAGCGTCCAAGCGTTCATGCGAGGATGCGGCTAGTGATGAATTTTGTCGCCGTCAGGCACTCGATGCACCGTCAAAAAAGAGAAAATCTCGGATAGAAGTTGACAGCAAGAAGGATGACAATTATCAGCTGAGAAAGAAAGAAGTGAAAAAGAAGAATGGGAAGAAGTCCACTTCAACTGACACGAGATCTTCAACAGACCCGAGATCTACCAAGTCCACGGCAATTGGTGCTGAACGCAGGGAACGAGTTCCGAAGAGAAGCAATCAAGGAAAGAAGAAAATTCCGTACCGATCAACTAGGACAACGCTCCCAGTGCCGCTGAATTATTCTAACCAAAGCTCGATATCATGGAAGTCAACGTCTACAACAGTTATGGTGTCGAACAATCAAAAACTGTCAACTTCAGCGAAGAATGCTGTCACGGGTTCTGTGAAGATGGAAATGTCGAGATTGGGAAAGGGGTTGAATTTTGTGCCTGGGAAGAGTTTGGACTTGGGAACAACTACTTCTGTTGATGATTTTGAGGAGGATAGCATTTTGTCATCACCCTTTCAAGTCTCGGAAGAGCCATTTGTGACTAGCTTCACTGAGGATTTGTCTGCGGATGTCAGTGGAGAAGATGTTGACAGTGATGAACAAACCACTCTGGCTGTTGATTATAGCACTGTAATGACCACCATGGACACTACCCCACCTGAGAGGACTGAGGATTATACCAAGGCCACAACCCCAACGGTCTTGGAGTCACTGAAGGGCAGTCGAAGACTGGTTGATGAAGCTGATGCCTCGGGAATTCTTGCAAGATTCTCCATTGGTAGACTCGCTATGTAAAAACGATTTTCAGAAGGCCTTTATATAAAGTGTATATATGTAGTAAAATTAAGTATTAAGTAATGATATGATCAGTTGTATGCAACGAATCCATCGACTTCCCGAGTGAGCAGAGTATTTCGATTCGATTGCGTGAGGAAGAATCTAGTATTTTTTTCTTTGTAGGGAGGTGTGAAATCTGTTCTCGAAAAATTATCGTCAGATTTCGAGAAAATCAAGTCCGGGATGAATAATCTAGTTGGCTTATTTATTGAAGAGTTATTTATTTGCGTATGTTTCATGGAAAATGAAATGTGTTCTTTGCGATCGATTGATGTGAGAATCACGACCGTCGATCTTTGGTACCGGTTAATCGTGATCGCGCGCAGTTTCTTGGTGAGGGCAATTTTATTGGAACGTTGAAGGAATAGTTGATTGTGCACCAAGGGGGAAAAACAGGACATTCCAACTCGCGCGGATTGCGGTAAACATGCCGCTTTGATGTCTTGCTTTCCTTCCTAGGTGCACCTAGTATTTTATGACACTAGGTGTGATAAACCGTGATTCTAACCTCGCTTTGCTCCGTCAGATCGCGTTTTTCGGGCGCAACGATATAAAATATTGGTTGTCACACGGCGATAAAAGTATTATCTGACTCATTTGATTATAAGATTGGTATCATTGGCTTCCGGATGGATATCGCGTTTGGTTTCAGCGTTGTGCCGACGTTTCGCAAACATTGCAGTCTGCATGTTCAGGGCTATGAGCTCCGATTCTGAGCTCCGATGTCTGGGGATACGCTCCAGGGGATGGGGGGTATGACGAGAGAGGGAAGGGGGAGGGGGAGATTATCCAATCATTTTTCAGCTGATCAATCAGCTGGTCAATTAAAAAATCGGGAGGACATGTGATTACAACCGAGAGGATCATGTGATTACAATTATAAAGTCGCATTCGTCAGCTAATACTTTTATCGCCTGATGATATAATGTACTGTTTCGTCACAATTGCGCAGTAAAGATCGATTCTTCTTCGGAAATGCAGGGAAGAACGTGGGTTATGTCATCCTGAGAATTGTCGAAAATAACAGAAATCCAAGAAAAGAAATAAACCACCTTTTCGTCATATCTGCACGGAAAGTTCGATTATCCTCCCCAAAAGACGAGAGGAAAGTGGCTTATTTCATTCTTCGCATTCCTATTGTTTTCTACGATCTTCGGAATTAAATAAAATACGTTCTTCCCTGCATTTAGATACCTGCAGTTAAGAAGGAAAACAGAACATTAAAACCCGGGTGTTTACCGTCATTGGGTTCGCCTCGGGCAATAATCCACACGCGGGTTGGAAAATCCTGCTTTCCACCGTTGGTGCACAATCTACTATTCTTCCATCATTTGGGAACGAAAATCCAACTCTCCGCACTGATCGACTGATTCATTTATTCCAAACGAGATTCATTAACTATTAACGAATGATGAAGTTGAATATGACCAAATGAATATTCGTTAATAGTCAACGAATGGTTCACTTGAAAGGTGAAAATCGAGTCAACAAGCTTCCTCAAATATGCATTTGTTAACTATTAACGAATGATGAAGTTGAATATGACCAAATGAATATTCGTTAATAGTCAACGAATGGTTCACTTGAAAGGTGAAAATCGAGTCAACAAGCTTCCTCAAATATGCATTTGTTAACTATTAACGAATGATGAAGTTGAATATGACCAAATGAATATTCGTTAATAGTCAACGAATGGTTCACTTGAAAGGTGAAAATCGAGTCAACAAGCTTCCTCAAATATGCATTTGTTAACTATTAACGAATGATGAAGTTGAATATGACCAAATGAATATTCGTTAATAGTCAACGAATGGTTCACTTGAAAGGTGAAAATCGAGTCAACAAGCTTCCTCAAATATGCATTTGTTAACTATTAACGAATGAATTTTTCTCCAACCAAATCCATTCGTTAACAATAACTAATCCTTTCTATTAGTGCGTGCAGATATGACGAAATAGTATATTTCTAACCTAGGGAGGTAAAATAAAAGAATCATGCCCACGTGTGAAATTGCCACCCGAGCGGAAGGCGAGGATGGATAAAGGCCCCTTATTTTACCTCCCGCGATTAGAACCGTATTTTTCGCCTTAAGTCTGTCTATCATTTATTCATCAAACAAATTTACGACACATCGGGTTCTTCATTTGCTATTCTTCAACCTCGGAATTTATCAATATTCTTAATGAAAATTGTGCTCTCCATGAACCGTCAATTTTGTTTTTGTCACATTACAATTACAAATTTTTGATCGTCATATAATGGTCGTGTGACGTCACATTTTTTTGTCGTAATTTGAGTAGATTGCCATTAATGCTGCTTTTTAGGGTAACAATTATGAACTAAAAAGTGCTGCAACAACTTGGGCCAGTCGAGTGATGCTTTTTCGTACCTCATCAGCTGAGTTAATCACGGCTCTCCATTCAACGGTTGATCTTGAAACGGTGGGCCGTGATTGGCTGAGCAGATGACTGACAAAAAAGCTTCACCTGCCTGGCCCCACATGCCGAAGCACGTGTTCGTTCATAATCGCTGTCCAGATGGGATATGACGGTCACATTCAATTTGTGTCACAAAAAATGGAATAAAATTGAGGAATGGTCATAAAATTTTGAGTAATTCTTCAACATTGTCACTGCCATTTAGATGGAATATGACGATCACATAGAATTCATGTCGCAACGAATGTCGTAAAATTGAGAAGCGCAAGCGACTGGTGGACTATTCAGTAGAGTCAAACGTTCTTAACCTTAGATTGGTCACTTCGTGAGGGAACGTCGCAGCGCGTCATTTTTTTTAAATTGCTTTTGACTGACTAACCGGAAAAATTCGCAAAAATTTGACTTCGTCAGTTGAAGTCTCTGAAAAAGTACAGCAATTTTTAAAACAACATCATTCCTGAAAATCCTAAGGAGAAACAAATTATTTTTAACAAATGAATTATTTTTCCCCACGTTAAGGAGATTCTATAATGATCGCAATGCAGGCTTGACGCAACGTTTGCATTGTTGAAATATTTGAAAAACAGTTTAATGATTGATTCAAACAATTGCAAGCGTCGCGGTAATCCTGCGACGCGTTCATTGTAGAATCTCTTTTAGGGAGGGTCTACAATACACGCGGGTCATTCGTTTACATTACGTTGCTAAGGTAATTAATATATCTATATTTATTGCAATGCGACGCAAACGGAAGACGTACGTCGATTGTAGACTCTGCTTAAGGGTGACCGCCCATCGAACAGAATCTACACGGAAACGCATCCGCGTTCACCAATCAGATCCCAGCAAATAAAATTGGCGGGAAAATCTTGCAATCCAATTGATTATACGGATGCGTTTCCGTGTGGATTCGATTCCATGGGCGGTCACCCTAAGAGTCAAACGGGTGACGGAAATTTGCCAAGAGACGAAAATTGGAAGTGCCCCACTATTTAGATAGAATATGACGATTAGTCGATAATTTGAGCACATAACACGAATTTCGTACTAGGCTATCTATTTAGTAATTCCGTCACAATTTGGTCATGTGATAAAAAAAAAAGGTCATATTTGTCTCCGTCATGTGACGGTCATATGACGTGTCACTGCCACGTCACAAAATTTATGCACAACTCTAGCCTCGATTGAAGACAAACAGTTAAAAAAGACCAATTGAAGATAGCAATCATATGAACAAATCGTTTTCATTATAAATTCTTCCAGTTGGTCACTCAAGACAGTATTAATGCTGAGAGTACGTATTTCAATTTCAGGACGGTGAATTAGAAGGAAAAAAGTTATTGTTAAAGACAAAAATTTCCGAAACGCAAAAAAACCATTGATGATTTTTCCTGTTGAATGCTGAGAACATTGTGGCCGTATTAGTTTAAGTGCGCGCGTGAATGATTATTGTATGTTGAAAATTGAAAAAGTGAAAAAGTCGACAATAATGCGGACTGATTGGTAAAAGCAAACAATCTCGCATACTGCCATTAAATGAAGCAACAAACACTGTATTTAATCTCATAGACTGATGAACAAACAAAACTAAGGATAGACAACTATTTAATCAAAAATTCGGCGTGTCAAAAATGAAGATGTAATCTTTTTTATAATTGTAAATTCGTCAGCCAATGTGGCTGATTTTACTCATTCTCTGTTTCCGTACCAAAATATTCACCATCACGGTTACCCTTGTGATAATAATTTCAAGATAATAAAGATAGCATTTTCGAGTAATGCCTCCCCTGAAAAAATGAATTGAGAAAGGAGCCTTTATGTTATTAATAAAGTTTCATTTTAAATCAATTTCACAAATATCTTCTTGTTTTATTTTACTCCTTCCCCAGACACGGTTATAGGTCACTAATAATTAAGACTTCAATTTATTAACCACTCACGTACGTGGCACGTCTGCTACCGAGCATAATATTGCACGCTTAATACCACTCAAATTTAACGACTTCTGATGAACGGAACATTATAAAACGAAGATCTAAGTGAAGTTACAGTACTTCTCTTCCCAATGTGGCTCGTTTGATTACATTATATACTTTCTATAGTTTCAGACATATTCCACTTTCGAAAGAGCCGTTCATATGGGCATGTGGACTACGTTTTTAACAGGTCAATTGGTTGACAAATCCCTAATTTTAGTAGCTTAATTCTCTAGAATAATCTCATTAACTTTGAATTTTATTATCCGGAGTGATCATTTTAAGGTGAGGTGAAATCACAGGAGTGGAGATTGGTTAACACTGACGTACTTCACACGTGAGTTGATTTCATTAGGATTTTCTCAGTAGTAGTACCCCAAGAGCTTCAAATTATCGAAAGACGCTTCAACTGCGGAGTGCCAACATTTTCCGTCATGAATATATTTATTATCCACTACAATACCGTTGTCTTCCGGGGCAACCAAGCCTCATAAGTTTATTTCTCACTCGTGCCTAAGGTTCTTATTGAGTGCTGTATGTCGA